TTTTTTTTTGTTAATTTCTATAGAATTGCATCCCAAGGTTGGTAGGTATCCCTATATCTTTGAGTTTGCAGTTGAAAGGTAGCTAACATTAATAAAAAATTCCTTTAAATTTAGTTCAGCACATTTTTCCCCAGCCTGTTATTCATTTTTTCAGTCTGTTTAATATTTTACAGTTTTCAGTATTACATTTCACTTTACAAGACTTGAGATAGTGTACATTTCCATTGAAGTTTGAAAGCCAGACAAGCTGTAGCCAAGGGGGGTGGGGAGGGGATCTGTTCACTCACAGCTTCTGGCCAGTGGAAATGTTCTGGTAACTGCTGCCTTCCCAATAAAAATCTGACACTATTTGTTATTGTGATTAAGTGCTCTGCAGAATTATGACAAATGTAGCTAAGCTCCAGCTTCCTCCAATCTTCAAACATACACATCAACAATTCGTTCACTCAACATTCAACCAACATTTACGGAGCTCTCATTATGTGCAAGGCACTATGCTAGGAACTCAGGGGGATGGGAAGATGAGAAGGCCTGGTTCCTATCCACAGGAAAGGATAAAATGCTGATAATGCATGCACTATTTACTGCTTCACTTCTGATTTCACAATAGGCATGCTCATACCACTCCATGCTCTTCCCTGGGGTATCATTGAGTCAATATAATCAACACAGGCAAGCCCGAGATAGTTCCAGATTTCCATAATACTGTCCTACTGTGTTAGAACTGCCACCATTAAGTACTTTAAACTCTCTTTATCCCTCTTCCCAGCTCAATATCCCTGCTCTCATGAATGCTTATAGGGGGTGTGGTTCCAAGTCTGATAGGAGAGGAACTCTCTTGATTGTTTCAAGACCTCACTGGGCAAGATGGAAGATAAAACAAATCCCTGACTAAATGCTGTCATGGACCAGTCTCTTCTTGTTCCTTTTGCATCAATTTGATTTTCTCCCAAAGATTTAAGTCCTTCAGGGTTAGGGCCAAAGTTTACATTACCATTCTATCCTTTGCATTAATAGCACAGAGCTGGTGCTCAGCAAATACTTGTGGACTGATTTACAAGAAACTAAATCTCCTAATTTTTATGGGATTCAATTAAATTGAATAAACATTTAGTGAATTGGGTTTGAATTGACATGGACAAGATTTGGTCTCTCTAGGTCTCAGTTCCTTTGTCTGTAAAATGAGGAAGGTGAACTAAGTATTCTCTAGGGTCAAGGACAGAGTCTGATAAGTCTTAGACAAACCTAAGAGTCTGATTCTAAGTCCAACTATGTGTAAAATAGTTATGCATTACGATGAGATAAATACAATCTCTGCCCACAAAAAGCTTACAGTCTAATGGGGGGGGCTATGACATGTACTAAAATAGTTTTGCTAAAAGGAAGAAGGAAACATGCAAAGAAGATATCTAGATACAGAGTTATGAGACACTTGAGCAGGGGAATATTACCTCCACTGATGGCAGGGGCAGCATGGAGGGAAGAGGTGTTGTTCATCCTTTGTTCTTGAAGAGGACCAATGACATCAGGAGGGTGATGTCCTGACTTGTAAGTGAATTGGATTTAAGTGAGGCAGAGTTGTGCAAAGATATCAGCCTCACTCTCTCCTCCAGGGTCATCTGAGTCCAGTGGCATGACATAGGTCAGGACAACTGGCAATGGCCCTGAATACAGTGGGAGACTTTGGCCCTTTTAAGCTAAGGTCTTTCCCAGGTATCAGTATGTCTGAGGCAACACCCATTCAGTGATTAAAGGCTAGGTAAGAAGTGAGGCAAACCATGGCCTAATCTGCCTTCACAAGAGAATCAATCTGGGAGTTGAAGACCCTCAGAAAAGAAGAAGGTAGGTATGGGGGAAGGATTTATGTGCTAACAACTTTGATTTTACTTCCTTATCCCTCTCTTTCTCTGTTAGCTATATGTGTACAATATCTATGTGTGCATATATAAGTATGTAAGTATAAATATTTATGTATATATGTGTACATATAGATATTATATACACATTCAGATGATATATATATGTGTGTATATATGTATTTCATAGGACTACAGATTCATAGAAAGAACCTTAGAAGGTCATTTATTTCAACTCCTGCATTTTGTAGATGAGGGAACTGAGGCTCTAAAGTGACTTCCTCCGTCTTGTGAGTTTTTAGAACTCTGACAGCAAATCACATGACCAACATGCTCTGTCTACTTCACTGGGCTTCATGCTGGAAAGTAGCCACTCAGTTCAATCTTTCCATCCACTGCATTCACCCCACTTGCCACATCAGCTTTCCTTTCCAGAATCAGGGATAAAGAGTTACATCACAGCAACAGAACCTCTTATCCTGGACTGTATTCCTCATCACTTTGGGTGAACGAGTCTGCCCTCAGTCCAATTTGTCTGTTCCTGGAATATTCTCAAACTTACAAAACCTGTATCCTAGCTGAAATCCCTTAGACATGGTTAACTGAGATCTGTGTTGAGAGCATTAAGATACTACAGTGGCCTGGGGTGATGCTATGAATATAGAAACATGCTACAATGTTAAGAAGGTAGATAATGGGCTGGTTTTAAATAAATCCATAGAAAAGTTGCTATGAATTATTCAGAAGTAGTGAATTGATTGAACGAAGCGCATGTATATTTTTATGGTGTTTAATTTGCCCAGGAATGTAATTAGATTTGATTAGCTCAAGACCCAAATACTTTTGAAAACCAAAAGAAAGAGGTATTTTTTTAAAAGGCATTCCTCAGGAATAGTATGAGTGTAGGTTTAATAGTTTAATGTCTGGTTACTGACGTGTTGGCACTACCAACAATAAACAGAAATGCTAGCAAGAGCCTTTCTCCTCAGTTAAGCTTTTGAGTTTATGTAATTGGTCAGTCTTCAGGTTACTCTGTGGTTGGACTGTGCATGGGTATAAAGTCATAGGGTAGCTGAAATGGACCAAACCAACACTTATACAGCAAGTAACCATCATTCTACTTTGCAGCATTTTCATCACAGACCACTGTATTTTTTTTTTTAGTAAAAATGTGATCAGATGCTATCACATAGACATTATTTTAACTTTGCTTGGCCCTGCTCTCCTTCCCAAATGATAATAATGATAACTCAGATATACACACAGCATTGTTATAAAGATGCAAAGTGCCTTCACATGTATTTCTCCATGAGAAACCACAGAAACTCAGAGTTGGAAAAGACCCGAGAGGTTACTGTGCTTCACCAAGATTTCCTTTGACAATATTCCTAATTGTTGTTCTTTCACCAATAATTCATTGACCAACCCTAATTTAGGCTCTATGTGAAGACTTCCAGTGACAAGAAAACCCACTACCTCCTAAGACATCTCACTTCTGGATAGCACTAATTATCATGGAATTCTCTTTGATGTTGAGTTAAAATATGTTTCTGTGTAATTTCTATCCATTGTCCTTAGTTCTCTTTTCTGGGGAAAGACAGAACAAGTCTAATCCTTCTTCCAAGTGACAGTCCTTCAAATACCAAAGACTGCTAACATGGATCTCCTAAGTATGCTCTTCTCTAGGCTAACCATCTCCATTATCTTCAATCAATCCTCGTGTGTTACAGATTCCATTTCCCCTCACTGTCATTGCTATTCTGGTTATGCTTTTCTGGACACCCTCCAACTAGCCAATGCTCTTCCTAAACAGTGATACAGTATTCCTTAAATAATACAACTAGAGCAGAGTACACATTTAAATCACCTACCTCCTTCTGAACATCTTGCTTCTGTTAATGCAGCTCAAGATTACTTGTTAGCATTTTTGATTGCCCGGTCACACTATGGACTTATGCTGAGCTCACAGTCCACTGTGACTTTTCCAAATTAAATAATCATATTCGAAATATCTCACTACATAGGCATTAGACTGTAAGCTCCTTGAGAGCAACATATCATATAAATAGGACTTGGTGTCTTCAAGACAGTGCCTTGTACATGAGACTCCTATTTACTAATTTGTTTTGCTCTGACAATAGGAAAGTCATTCTATTATCAATCAATCTACAAACATTTGTTAAGTACATATTATGTGTCAGGTACTATGCTAAGCTATGGTACTATGACATTCCTTTTTAAAAAAATTAAATTTTATTTTCAAATAACCTGTACCTTTTTTCCTTTCCACCTTCCTTCCTCCTCCCTCAATGAGAAAGTAAGAAATATAAAACCCTGTTACAAATATGTATTGTTAAAAAAAAACAAATTTCCACATTGGCCATGTCCAAAAAATGTCTCAATCTGTAATCTGAATCCAACATCTCTCTTTCAGGATATGGGCAGCATGTTTCATTGTGACTTCTCTGGACTTGAAGATGATCATTGTGTGACTCAGAGTTCTCAAGTTTTTCAAAGTTGTTTGTCTTTATGATATTGTTGTTAATATATAGATTATGGTCACGGTTCTGCTCACTTCATTCTGCATCAGTTCATATAAATCTTTCCAGTTTTTTCTGAGACTATCTTTGAAGTCTTCTTTCTTTTTTTTTTTTGTGGAACCATCAGGTAATTTATGGCACAGATGGATATGACATAGACATGAAATATTTGAAAAACAGTGGGGACTCTAGATCTGAAAAAGGCCTAACAATAAAACTTAATATCCACTTTATGGGGGATGGGGGTGAGGAAAGTATTTCTGAACACTAAATGGGTAAAGATTACTGAGAGAAAAATATGTTTGCAAAAGGCAGGTAACCACAATACACCAGAGATTATTAAGGGAAAATCCCTTCCTCTTAAGTAATTCCATTGTTATAATTATAATGTTATAATTGTATATAATTCTGACAGTCTTCTAGTGGATGAGTGGCCTTCCCAGACCTTTGTACAGAAATGGCTATCGCAGCAACATGGTAGCACCATCATTCCTTGATGAGAAAAGGTGGTGCTCAGTGTAAGCACCAGTGGGAAAACACAAACATGAAAAGGAAAAAACAAACCAACCAACTAGAACTGTCTCTGAAAAATGTAATTAATTACCTTCCACTTCACAACCCAGCAGCTCCATTCTTAGCCCTAATCCTCCATGAGTGGCTCTCTCGGGGTAGATCCTGATGAATCGGGTGGATAGAGGAGGAAAAGTTCGAAGCTCAGGTGTATCATAGTTGTTGTTACCCTCAAAAGACTGTGAAGTGTGAAAAAGAGGATTTGTTAAGACAGTACTCTCTATTAGCAAAGAACATGCCTGCCTGCCCCCTCCCCAATCCCCTTCCATCCTAGGTCTCTGTTACATGGGCTAAAAAGTAGGCCATATTGTCTCACTGAATATAGAGATGGCATTTCTTAAATGAAGAGGGAGCAAAGGGGTAGTTAAACCTTTGCTGAAAAGTGATATTATTTTCTAGAAACAGTAGTCTTCAATGAAGTTATGTTGGAAGCTAAGGATTTAATGCGGCATGTTTTTAAATGATTCTTTGATGTGTGGTTTGGTGAGGTAACATTTTTACCACTTCCTGAAGGAGGCAAAGTGTGTGTGTGTGTGTGTGTGTGTGTGTGTGTGTGTGAAGTCAAATGAGAATAAGAACTTGCCACTTTTACAAGCTTATCATGAATACACAATTCAACTAAATATGGCTGTTTGATTCTCCCAAAATGAGTGAGGTCTCAGTCTGACAAAATCTAGTCTTCTCAAAGAGATGGAAATTACATTGCAGGAGTTGGAACTGGTCAATTTTACCTAATGAAATTGCTATTTATTCAAGAACTGCCTACCCATTGAAATGGGTATTTATTTAAGAAATGCCTACCCACTTCAGACATTTGAAGATAAAAGATTTCCTCATCTCAGGGAAAGTAGCAAGTGACCCAACTGGCAATATTTTCAAATTCATGTTATGAAGAAAGGCTAAATCACAACATGAATCTGAATTTCCTTTGAAGTCGGTTCCTAACAACTGGATATATTTTCCTTGACAAATAATGGATTGGGACAGACATCCTCTCTATTCCTGAGTCAGCACCTTCTTTACCCTATTCTTGCTGGACAGCAAGGGGAAATTAGAATAAAATGTTTTTAAACTAGAAGGGACTTTTAGCTTAACCTCTTTGTTTTTTACCAGTGTGGGAAATGAGGACCAAAGATATCAACCGATTCATAAGATCATATCATAAGTTAATCTCATCAAGAATAAAATTCTTGAGTTTTCATCTGATTTGAAGGTACCAAATGCTATTGATCAGAATGCAGTGATCTTCAGTCCAAAAGCCACCATGTACAGCTGTACATTTTTAAAGGATGGCTTTTGATTTGGTCAGTAAACTACCACTCCATTACTAGGATAGCGTACAGTGTCACCATATCATGCTAAGTCTTAATGATCACACTAAGAAATTATAAGTAAAATGAAGCTACTGGCCATCTGGTGGGGGAGGGCATGGTCTGAGTGTAAAGAGGAACTTCACCATACAAGTCACAAAGAAAGGTAGCTGTCAGTTCCAATAACAACTAGCCATCTCCATACCATGCTGCCTCCACTCTGGCCAGCAACTTTACCTCTTCCTCCCAAGAATCTTGCCCTCAAAAGCATCCTAGTTTCTGATGGGTAAGCTTTCACCCGATCTTTCCCAGAATTAGGCTTCCTCCTCCGTATCTTCCTACCATGCTGCCATGCATGTGTGCTTTGCCCATCTCCCATCCCTCTAGTTCTCCCTTGTGTGTTGTTTCTCCCCATTAAAATGTAAGCTTCTCAAGGGCAAGGGCTATTTTCCTTACTTGTATCTGTATCGCGAGCCCTTATCACAGTGGACACATAGCATTTAATCGTGCTCCGTCTGCCTATATGTCTGCTTGGCACATAGTAGGCATTTAGTAAATGCTCTGTCTGTCTGCCTGTCTATACGAGGAGGTAGGCTACATATTCAGAAAGGCATTACTCGGCAAAGAGAAGCTACCAGAAATTTAACAAAATTCTGGGCATCCTCTAAGTTTCCCATCACTTAAAAAAAAGTGGACATGGTATTAATGGACCTGTATTTCTCAGACAGAACTGAGAAACTCCCTGGTTTTTAACTCTCACTGTTATTAGGGTCTAATTAATTTGTTGTCAGTAAGGCATTAATTATCACAAAGATTATACTATTACATAGAAATGCTTTGTATACATTAACATAACTCCAAAGATCCTGGGAACAAAGCATGTGTGGAGACGTCCATATCTACAGAATTCCAGACAGACTCTTCTCTTAATAATGGTTTAAATAGAAGCATGAAACAATGAAAACTGAACTACTAAGATATTGGTGCTGAATACAGATGAAGAGTAGAACATAAGAGGCATATGGAATCAGGATGAATCTCTGCACTTGGTGACATGGGTCTATCTGGCATTGGATTTTAAGTATGCCCTTTGAGCCAAGGGATTGATCCTTTTTTTTTTTCTTTGAAGGGGAGCCCTTCTATCTGTTAAGAAAATCTAGTTATTCTAAGGACTGTGACTTCCTGCACACATGATCATGCTTGCTGGGATTGAAATCCCTGAGAAACCACCAGCTTTATTTCAAGAACTCACAACCTCTTTTCTTCCTAACTCTTGGGCTGCTATAAGTGACATTCCAGGCAGTCCCCCCATATTTGCATAGAAAAAACTAAGGGTATTTCATTGTCCTTGTAAAAATTTAAATGAGAGGCTCCTAAACAGGAAAATTTACTGGATTTCTTTTGCCTGCTAGAAGTTTCTTTTGGTTGGGGGACATTTTAAGCATTACTGTGATAGGTGCTATATAAACAACTTAAATGTTTTTATATTTCAGGTTATTATAGGAAAATGACGTTGTCAAGCTCATGTTTAAGAAAAACAACAGATCTTAAAATGATTTTTGTTGTTGATGTTGTTAAAGATGAAAACTGTGAGTAGCCTTCCTGATGAATCCTCCTCTCAATTTGCTGTGTAGGCTGATAGCTTCAGACTTGATTACAAATGCCTGGATGAGATAACAAAGGGCCAAGAAGCATATGATGCATCGTATAAAAAGCATATGGTGATTTGTTTTTTTCTCTCTCTCTTCTAGAACTGTGGTGTTGAAGAACGTGTCAAAACAACACACACTTTATTCAGAGAGCAGCTATGTGAAGCTGTTGATTTACACCATATTCACACTTCCCAATGAAGTCACAACTCACAGGGCCATGAATAATGATTGGTTTTAAGCTATTTCCTGATGTTTATTTATTTAAAAACATTTTTGGGTGAAAATTAAAAATAAGAGCTAATAACTGACATTTATAAGTGCTTTGAAGTTTCCTAAGTGCTTTCTAAGCTTTGTCTTGATCTAGTCTCACGTAAATTCTTTGCTTGGCTATATGATCTGATATTAAAAACGTGATTTATAAAAAAACCAAAAACAAACAAAACAAAAAACTTAAGTGCTATGAGTATGATTGTCCCATTTTAGGGAACTGAGACTCCAAGAGGTTAAATGGACCTTTTAAGGTCATAGCTTTAGAGTTGAAAGGGCCTTCTGAGGTCATCTAGTCTGGCTTCCTTCTTATAGAGATGAAGAACTCAAAGAAGTGACTTGTACAAGGTCACACAAGTGGTAACAGCAGAACTGATATCTAAAACCAAGTTCTCTGACTTATCTAAGGTCACACCTCTAGCAAGTGTGCCAAGCAGGAACCGAACAGAGATTTTGCTCACTCCAAGTCTAGAAATTTATCTGTTATGTCATACTTTTGGGGAAAGGATGGGTATGAAAACAAGAGAGAGAATTAAGGAGGGAGAGGGAGAAGGAGAGGAGAGAGAGAGAGAGAGAGAGAGAGAGAGAGAGAGAGAGAGAGAGAGAACAAGAAAGGAAAGAAGGGAAGGGAAAGAAAAGGGAGAGGTGGGGAGAGACAGAGAGAGGGAGAAATATAGGGAGGAGGAGAGGCAGAGGAAGAAGGAGAAGAAACTGAGAGAGAGAGAAAGAGAGAAGGGAGAGAAAGAGAGAAAAATAGAAAGGAGATAGAGAGACAGAGAGAGGAGACGGAGAGAAAGAGAGAGAGACAGAGAGAGAGACAAAGAGAGAATAACAAAGACATTTTACAAATGAAGGATTTTTGAGGTGGGAGCAAGAGAATTTTAGAAAGTATAAACCCTGCGTAGATGGCCTGATGTATTAACTAGTCCCACATGGGAGACACAGCTTGTCTCCACAGAGCCAACACATCTGGAATGAGTGGGAGTTGCAAGCATTGCAGAGTTTATGTTTCCTGCCTCCAGCAACTTTGGCCTGCCTCACTTTATCAAACCATATTCCCACACTCATTCAGAGTTGGTGTGATGATAATGTTCCCTACAATGATCCATGATCTCTCTTTCTCTAGAGAATAGGTCATAGGCGAAGCTCGAGATAGATACTGGGGCGGGAGAAGGTTGCTGTGGGGAGGATTGAGGACCTTCTCGATTTCAAGGGACGAGATATAGCTCGCTCACTCTTGTGTTGATTTAAGAGGGGTACTACATGGAAAGAATACCACTGTATGTAATCATTCAACTGGTCTTATAAACTCAATTCTTGATTATTTGGGTGAGAATTATCTGCTTTGTGGATTGACTGTGGAAAAATAAATCTTTCTGGAAGGAAGAAGAGGCAGCAGTGTGTGTGATGGAAAGAGTCCTCTATGTCTTCAATTATTTAAAACCTTATTCTGAGAGGGGCCCATTGGCTTCACCTGACTGCCAAAGGGATCGGGGACACAATTGGGAGTCAGAAGATTTAAGTTCTGGTCCTATCTCTGTCACTAATAATTTGTGTGAACCTGGGTAAGTAACTTGAGTGCTCTGGATCTCAGTTTTCTCATGTGTAAAATGAAAGGGTCAATTTTGGTTATCTTTAAAGTCCCTAGTACCTTTTACCCCATAATTGTTTATTCCCCACCCATGCTTCTGTCCTTTAGTGCTTTCTTTAATTGTTAATAAGTTTAGGATAAGTGGTTTGTCACCCTTTTTTTTTTTTTTTTTTGTCATGGACCTCTTTGGCAGTCTGAGAAAAGTTATGGTCCCCTACTCAGAAGAATGTTTTTTTTTTAAATACTTAAAATAGGTTATAAAGGATTATAAAAGAAACCAATTATATTGAAATATAGTAATATTCATTAAAGAAACACAAGTTTGTAGGATCCCTCCACCCCTGTCCATTTTAAAAACGCTTGGTTTAGGAGATACAGACCAATTTGAATACCAGCTGAAAGCAACTTAATTGTACAGGCCCATTTATTTTTAAAATCACACAACACAGTGAAATGAATTCTGGATTACACGTAAATGTTTAATAACTGTGAAAAACATGTTCTCATGACACATTTTTAAATTTAATCTGCAACATTCACATTGTCTACACCATTCTCTTAAATCTAGCCAATATACAAAACAATAAGTCATGCCAATTTCTGAAGCGAAAATGCTCAAATAGAAAATTTAACAATTGGCTTTCAGAAGCTGTTTAGAGCTGGCTCCAGCATTTGTCTGACTATAAATCCTTTCTATTACAGTTTCGGAGAAACGATGCATCGTATTGAATCGAGGGACTTAGGTTGGACTCCCATCTATACCTTTTATGGGCTGTGTGACCACAGGCATATCACTTAACCTCTATCCAGTCTCAACTTCTCCATCTGTAAAAATAGGATACTGATACTTACATTACTTACCTTATAGAGTCCTTGTGAGTAGAGTGCTTTGTAAACCATAGGCTGATAACAGCTTAAAGCTGCACTAAGACTTTTGGGACTCCCTGTATTTACTCTGTATCTGGTCCTTTCCTGTTTCTATGGGGGAAGCTAGGTGGTGCAATGGATAGAACTCTGGCCTTGGAGTCAGGAGGACCTGAGTTCAAATCCAGCCTCAGACACTTGACACTTACTAGCTGTGTGACCCTGGGCAAGTCACTTAACCCCAATTATCTCACAAAAAAAAAGAAAAGAAAAAAAAAAGAAAAGCATTCCTGTTTCTATGTACATATTATCTCCCTTACTCTTTGAGGGCAGGGAGAGTTTTCAATTTTCCTTTGCATCGCTAGCATTTAGCGTTGTGCTTGGTACATGGTATGCACTTAATAAATGCTTATTGATGGATTGTTGCCATCATCATCATAGACAAAAAAAAAAAAATGGAAACTTCCTATATTTTAAGAGTTTCCATACCAAGCAAGTTAATTTATATCAGGGATCCTCTAGGAGGCGATGACAATGATGAGCATTTATATGGGACTTTAAGATTTAAAAGTTTTTTATTCTTACAACCACCCTAGGAGGTAAGTGCTATTATTATCTTCATTTTACAGATGAGAAAATGGAGAAGTGAAGTGACTTGCTCAGGGTCACACGGCCAGTAAGTGTCTGAGGTCAAATTTGAACTCAAGTCTTTCTGACTCCAGGTCCAACATCATGAAGCTTACCCGGCCAACTGTCAAGCTAGCTTTTACTGCCATGTTCCCTGGCAGCGAGGTGGCGCTAGAGTGCACAGAGTTCTGGGCCTAGAGTCAGGAAGAGTTCTATCTGTTTCATAAGCATTTTATATCCACTATAGATGCACATGTCATCTCACCCATTGCGTTAGAAGCCTAGACGCTAGCACGGTGCCTGGCTCCTAGCAGGTAGCTGATAAATGCTTGTTGATTGAACAGGGCATTATGCCAACCCCCAGCCCTCTCACCTTGGTCTTCCGTTTGCTGTCATCCATAATCATTTTCCAATCGGAGCCGTTGTTACTATATCCGATCTTGAATTTTTTCATGAACACCTTGTTATCTCGGTGTTTCCCTCCCTGAATGATGATGCCCTTCACAATCTTCTCCTCACCCAGATCTATCTGGAGCCACTCATTTGTGTAGGAGTGAGGGGCAGATGGCAGTGCCCAACCCGAGCGGCTGGTGACAAGGCGGGTGTTTTCAGGCATCCAGTTTCTGTCTCCTTGATTTGAGGCTGTGATTTGTGAGTCTGAAATGAGTCCAGACACCATCCCCAACATTCCGGAGCAAGGATAATCTGTGGAATAAAAGGGAATAATTAGGCAATGTCAAATGATTTTCTGTGTAACTCCGCCATCTGAAGAAACCTAGGGCATTAGCAGAAACCTCTCCTGTTACCCCTTCCACATCGCTGGGGTTAGGAGTGTGGCACCCTCACCCGTGATCTGGAAAATCCACATGAAATTTTTTGGCCCTCCTGTCACTCCAGAGAGGAAACCTGAATTTTTTCTTTTTCTTTTATGGGGTGTTTACAGTACTACATATACATGTATTTTATGCATTTCTGAGTTTCTAAACTTTTTCTGTATTGCCTCCTGGCCTTCCCATGTCATCTTGCAGCTTCCACAAAACTCCCCCCCAAATTCCCACTGAATTTCTTATGCTGACCGGCGATATATCAAAACCACAATGAGGAAAGTCACGACGTGCAAGGGATAAGGGTAGAATGTTTTGCCTCAAATTGAAAACTAAAGTTTCTCACAAAGAACAAACTCCAACATTCCTTTCCCCTTTCATTCTTTCTTATTTACACACAAAGGCCTAAGGCACAAAATGGCAGTTTGTGCCCAGTTTGTCCAATAGCTTGTATTTTCTCTTAAACACCAGATCTCAAAGTATGGTTTGGGGATTCCTAGGCATCTGCATGGGTGATCAGGGCTGTTGGCCCAAATCAGTACTTTAGTTACAGTGTTTAAAAGAGAAATAGTGTAAAGGAGAGATAGTTAGCCTTGGAATCGAGAAGACCTTGGGTTCAAGTTTTTCCTCTGATATATACTGAGTGACCATGAACAAGTCACACTCTCTCCTGGCCCCAGGCAATTCTCATAGGCTATCAATTAATCAATTATTTATTAGATACCTCCTGTATATCAAGCTGGGACAGCCGGGAGGTGCCGTAGTGCATAGCTTACCAGGCCTGGAGTTAGGAAGACTCGTCTTCCTGAGTTCAAATCTGTCCTCAGGCACTTATAGCTGTGTGACCTTGGGCAAGTCACTTTACCCTGTTTGCCTCAGTTTTCTCATCTGTAAAATGAGCTGGAGGAAGAAATGGCAAACCATTCTAGTATCTTTGCCAAGAAAACTCCAAATGGGGTCACAAAGAGTCAGACACAACTGAAATGGCTGGGATGTCAGACACTGTGCTAAGGCCTGAGAAAAGAAAGAAGGCAAAAAACTGTCCTTGCTCTCAAGGACTTCATGGTCTAATGAAAATCATTTTGTACAAACAAGATCTATAGCAGATAAATTGGAGATAATCAATAGAGAGAAGGCAGTAGTATTAAGGAGGTTGAGGAAAGGCTTCTCATAGAAGATGGAATTTTAGTTGGTTCTTGAAGGAAGCCAGGGAAGCTGGGAGGCAGAGATAAGGAGGCCGAGTTTTGGAGGCAGGAGTACAGTGGGTGAACATGCCACGAGTCTAGAGATGGAGTATCTTGTGTGAGCGACAGTGAGGAGGTCCTAGGTGAGGAATGCCTTGCTGATCTGGACCAATGGAGGAAACTGATACACCAGGAATCCTCTCATTTCAAAGAGCACAAAGGACTAGACCCAAAAGGAAATGAGTGCAGTATCCCACTGTTGTTTCTTCCAAGATGATATGGCTCATTCACTCCCACGGTCACCATCCTTGTTCAATTTCTTATCACCTAACCCTTAGACAATTCTAATAATTTCCTAATTGGTTTCCCGGCTACCAGTCTTTTTCCTTTTCAAGCCTCTGCACAGATGCCAAAATAATCTGCCTAAAGTACTTGTTATTTCCTGGTTCCAAAAACTTCAGAGCCTCTCCCCCCCTCTGTTATTGAAAAGACCCCTCAATTTACAGTTAGCCATCCCTACTTTTCCAGTTTTTTTAATATACCTAATAATAAAAATTAACATTTATATTGTGTCTACAATGGGCCAGACACTGTGCTAAGCACTTTACAAATCTTATCTCACTTTATCCTCACTACAACCCTGGGAGGTAGGTGCTATTAATAACAATTGAGAAATCTGAGGCAAATAGAGATTAAATGACTTGCCCAGAGTCACAAGCTGTGACTTTTGTGTGAGATTGGATTTGAACTCCGGTCTTCCTAACTCCAGGCAGATCACTCTTTCCCCTGTCCCATTTTACTGCTCTCCTTCACATACTCTATAGTCCGTCCAAATCAACCCGTTACACGGTGTTGTTCATCCTTCATTTTTGAAGAGGCCAATGACATCAGGAGGGAGATGCCTTGACTTGCAAGTGAATTGGATTTAAGGGAAACAGAGCTCTGCTACTCAAACTCAGCAAGCTGCCTTCTGTCCCTATGTATTCATACAGGCCATCTCCCATGGCTGAAATGCATTTTCTTCCCATATTTTTCCCAAATTTTTATTTTCCATTAATATGCTACTTCTGTGGCACTATAAACCTGCTCTGATTATCTTATTCTCTCCTTTCTCAATTTATTTTCTATTTACTAATACATAAATTGTCTATATATTACCCTTATTATCCCTCTAATGGCATGTAAGCTTCTTAAGGGGAAGGATGTTTTGTTTTTGTCTCTATTATCTTAATGCAAAATCTCTATTCTAGTAAGCAGATGCTTAAGTGCTACTTGAATTGATTCTAGTAAAAAAAAGAATGCATAGCTGAAGTGATCTGTGGAGCACATGAATTCTGGTGGGGGAAGAGACGGGTGTCTGGATGGCTGATTCTAACTAGTTTGTTGTTGTTGTTCAGTCATTTTAGTCATGTCTGACTCTTGGTGACCCTATTTGGGGTTTTCTTGGCAAAAATACTGGAGTGGTTTGCCATTTCCTTCTCCAGCGCATTTCATGCATGAGGAAACTGAGGCAAACAGGATTAAGTGACCCTAGCCAAGTCATTCAATCCTGTTTGCCTCAGTTTCACAGAAGAAACAAATGAACAACCACAAAAATAAGGTATCTGCAAGCTTGGATAATCCTCTTGTCAATATGGCTCATACTTTATCTTCTCTGACACATTAGCTTCCCTTTTCAACTATCAAATTTATTTGAACTCAACAAACATTCCTGAAATACTTAACCATATTGCAAGGTACTGTGCTAGGCAAACAAATATGAAAGAAGATGCAGTCCCTGCCTTCAAGGATCTTCCACTCTAGAAGGAAGAGGGGATTTTATGAAGGTGATAAAGTGTGATCCAATTTCCATTCTTGGAATCAGATTCTGCTGGTCAATCAGGCTTGAAACCTTAGCATCATCTTTGGCTCCTAATTCCTCCTCCATTCCTTATATCTGTTTTGTCATCAAGTCTTGTCTTTTCTTCCTTCAAGTCTCAATTTCCCCATGAAACCTTTTCCAAAGACTCTAGCCCACACTGATCTTTCACTTCTCTACCTTCCATTTCACTTAGCACCATATTATACTGATTAGGATTTTTTTCTCAGATTGGTTTGTGTGTATATGAGTATTGCCTCCTTAGCTAGAATGTAAGCTCTGTAAGGGACTGTGTCTTTACAATTTCTTTGTGAATCTGTCGACACCTACTATAAGAGTGGATGAAGTAGATGCTTAATAAATATTGATTGATCCATTGACAATTCTCTCAAAATTAGATCTGCTATATGATCTTTTTTGGTCAAGTCTCTACCTGGAAAAGGTAATAAGTGACTTTCTGCATCTATAAAATAGGGAAAACAGTACTTACCCTGCCTACCTCATAGAGTTGTTGAGATTACAAGAGTTTATAAAGCTTAAAGCACTATGCAAATATGAGTTATGATTTTTAAAAATAGAATCAATTCTTTTTATATAAATTTTAAATTGTTTTCTTAGAAATTATCAAGAAAACCAAAATTATGATCTTTTTTTTCTAAGTGAATTGCATGCATTCAAAATGCATTCTGACTAATCTCAGGTTACCAGACAGCCAAGAATTCTTAGATATTATCAGAATTAGTTACAATTAAATTCATTTACAACCAAAGACATGTCATTTCCTCAATTGAAACCTTATTTTAAGATTTAATTTTCTTTATAATTTAGTAATAAATATTTGTTCCTTCAGGGTAGGATTTGGAACCCCAAGACTTAAACCTGATGATGATTTAAATAAATAAATGCATACATAAGTAAATGAATGAATGAATAATAAATTGGCATACATCCATCACCAAATGAACATGAAACAGCAGTGTTAAAAATAGAAGTTACATTTTTGGCCAATGTGGTCACACCTGCTTGACTCAAAATCAGCCTTCTACAATGGCAATGTTTAACTAGTAATGGGGATCAGATGTTGCCATTTGGAGAAAAAAAAATGTAATTAACTTGAATGTTGTAAGGAGAGCAAAGCTTCAACCAGACACGTAGCTAATGGTGCAGAGCCTCCACTCAGACCACAGATCCATAGCCTACAGCCAAGCTGTTATCAATTTTGTTTGCATGTCTCCTTCCAATAATAACTAAGAGCACCCTGAAGATATTCCTTTAACCAAAAAAGTATTTGGCTCATTTTTATACTGTGACTGTGAGCAAATTTACATTTATAACTCAAGATGGGGCCCCAGATGAACATATACTTTGATAATTTGAGGAATCATCCCACAAAACAATGACTCCCAATTCAAATTCATCTTGTAAAGTATACAAATAATCATTAGGATTAACATCATAACTTATCACTTGGCTCTGTCCCCACCCCAACTCTGTGAGAGAGGCAGTGTAGACATTCTTTCATCTAAGAGATGAAGAAACTGAAAACGAGAGAGGTCGCAGGATCTTATGTTAAGAGTTGGAAGATGTACTGGACATCCTTGAATTTTATGGATTTGGAAGCGGAGACTCAGAGAGACTGTGATCCCTTCATTCACAATCATGTAGCCAGTATGGATTGAAGCTGAGACTTGAATCCAGAATTTCTGATGATTCCAAGACATAGAAAGACAGGCGGATAAGAAGGGATAGCTCCATGACATTTTAAATTCTTTTCCATTCAAAACAGTAAACTTTCTGGTTTTTTTTTTTTTTTTGGTTCAGACCTGTGATTTCATTGATATAGGAAATTCCCCATGACAAAATACCAATGAAGATCTGGAACTGTCAGTTAAGCAATTTATGTTTTTAGAGAATTGCTGGGGAGAACAGAGATTAAATTGATTTGCCCAGGGTTAACAGCTATTTTGAATCAGAGACAGAATTTAACCCTGGTCTTTCAGTCAGAGGCTGGCTCTCTATATACAGTATGCCATTGTGCCCCTTTCTCTAGCTCTGTCTCTGTCTCTCTGTCTGTCTCTGTCTCTCCCCCAGAATTGTTAGGGGATAAGTGTTCTTATTAATAAAGTATTTTGGTAAATAGAGAATAAAAAGATTGTAACCTGTTCAACTGGATAACATAATTTAATCTTTCTTTTATGATTCCAAAGATCCTTCAAGATATTGTGTTTGAGGGAAAGCATCAGTTATAACATAACCATGTGGATGTTTGAGAATTCTGGCTAATAGGAATTTTAGTAAAAAATTGCTAAAACTTTTGCTTTTTTATTTTTATAAAATTTTTTACTTTTTATTTTTTATCAATGTCTGATCATTATATCTGTGTATGCCCTATAAAACGGTTATTTCCTTTCAACATCATTCCCCAGAATTCTATGTTCTCCATAAATAAATAAGTAAATAAACAAATAATAAATTAGCAAGCATTTATAAAAGTATTTGCCAGGTGTGTGTGAAACAACAGTGTTAAAAATAGAAGTTACATTTTTGGCCATTGTGGTTGCACCTGCTTGACTTAAAACCAGACTTTACAATGGCAATGGTTAGCTGGTAATGGGGACCAGATGTTGCCATTTGGAGGACCTCCTACCCCCACCAGTAATTAACTGGAACAGGTGATTCTGCTTATAATAATATTTTATAAACTATCATCTACATAGAATGAGATGAATTGTTCCAGTGTTAGAGGTAGGAGTGTCCAGGATCCTTATCTGGGGGTTGAAGAAGCTGAGACTTGGAAAGGTAGAGTAACCAAACTATGGTCACACATATGGAATCTCTACATCTAGTCCACGTTCTTTCTTCTGTGCCAGACTCTCCCTCCTCTCCCTCCTTTCCTTCCTTCTGTCTCTTCTTCCTTCCTTCTCTTCTTTCTTTCTTCCTTCCTTTTTTCCTTCTTTCCTCTCTTCTTTCTTTTCCTCCCTACCCTTTTTTCCTTTCTCCCTCCTTCTTTTCTTCCTTTTTTCTCTTCCTCCATCCTTTTCTTTCTTCTTTCTCTCTCTCCCTCTTTTTCTTCCTTCTTTCCCTTCCTCCTTCCCTTCTACCCTCCCTCCCTTCTTCCTTCCATCCTTCCATTCCTCCTTCCTCCCTCATTCCCTTCCTCTCCTGTCTCTCTTCACTTTCAGAGTCCTTTGGCATTTATCAAATGGGACTGCCTCAAGGAGAAAAACAATCAGTGTGGTAAGAAAAAAAAAACACATCATTTTTCAAGCGCCTATACTGTAAGCAAGTATAATTTCCTTCTCAGGTCTTAACATGGTTATTTATTTCATGGAAAATAGCTGATTATTTTCTTTTCATTTATTCCACTGAATCTAACAATATCAATTTTCAAAATGTTGGTTTTAAAGAGTATATATATGTATATATATCTCAAAATAACAGGGCTGGAATTTATGGTAATGAAAAACAAATCCCTGAAAACATGCAGATAAAATGATAACAGTTTTTAAACTTTCCAAGTCTTCTGCCCTTAAAAAATGGATATGTTAGAGGAGGTGATATTTACAGTCCTCTCCTGTTCTGACATTTTCTATAGGGCCTGCACTTATTTGAGGTCAGAGATCCTAAATAAATTCTTCACAGAATCTGAATCTCCAGGCACCCAAAGTCCTGGTCAGGGATGGGACGTGGGGGGAGCTTCCTATGGCCCAGAGGTTGGAAAGCATAGGTTGCCTCATGTCTTGGCCCCTTCAGAAGAGGCTTCGAAGCTAGTCCCTCAGATTCTCTAGGAAGAGCAAGTTACCTAGACCAAGGGTGGGAAACCTGAGGCCTTGAGGCTACATGTGACCTTCTAGGTCCTCAAGTGAGGCCCTTTGAATCCAACTTGGATGCAGTCAAAGGGCCGCACTTGAGGACCTACAGGTTCATATGTGCGCCTTGAGACCACAGGTTCCCCCACCCCTGACTAGACTCATAGCCTCCATTGTCCCATCTCCCACTCATTTCTCAATCATTTACAATGTGGCTTCTGGACAGTGCCATTTTCTTTTTTAGGTCAGCTTTGTCAATCTGATGGATATGAGGTGGGAAATGAGGATGTGACACTGACCTCTCCTCCAAGGTTACCAATGATACCTTAACTGTTAAGTACAATATTTTTTGTTTTTGTTTTTTCCTTAGTTCTCTGGCAACTTAATCTTTCTACAGTTTTTGACACTGTTTAAAACCTCCCTTTCCCTTGGTTTCTGTGACACTGCTCTATTTCTTTTCCTACCCTCTCAACCACTCTTCCTTATTCTCTTTTGCTGGATCATCATTGATCTTCTGTCCTCTAATCAAGGACGTTCCCTAAGGTTCTGCCTTGAATTTTCTTTTGCTTTCTCTCTAGAATCTCGGCAATTCCTATAAGTTTAATGATCATCTTCCTACAAATGATGCCCAAATTTGTGTGTGTGTGTGTGTTCATGTACCACCCCAACCTTTCTCCTGAGCTTCAGTCATTAGCTGCTTACTGGACATCTTTATGTAGCCCTCTCAAACTCAGTATGTCCCAAACAAAACTTATTATCTTCCTGTCTGAACCCAACCATCCTTCATCTCTATTCCTGTTGGTGATACTACTATCCTAATAATCACTCAGTTTTGAAATATCAAATATCGTGGACTTGGAGTCAGGAAGACTTGACTTAAAATTCTCAGACACTTACTAGCTGTGTGACTCTGGACTAAGTCATTTCATCTCTGTCTGCCTCAGTTTCTTCATCTGTAAAATGGGGATAAAAAGAGCACCTACCTCCCCGGGTTGTTTTGAGGATCACATGAGGCAATATTTGTAAGGCACTTGGCAAATCTTAAAGCAGTAAATAAATGCTAGCTATTTCAGAGTTAACTTTGACTCTCTAATCCCACCTCGTAGCATTTCCCTTCCCAGCTTAGAACCACTAAGTTGCTAACTTTTGTCTCACATCCTTCTCTATCAGCATGTCCCACATCTTTCTCATTTTCTCTACTAACATGGCTATTTCTAAGCACGCCAGTCCTTCATCACCTCTTACTTGGAATGTTGTAATATTGTTTTTCATTGGTTTTCCTGATTCTAATCTCTTCCTTCTCCAATTCATCAGTTAAACCGTTGTAAAATTAACATTACTAAAACACATGTCTGATCATATCACTTTCCTACTCAAAAATCTCCATTGGTTTCCTGTTGCCCCCAGCATCAAATAGCCTGTCAGTTAAAGTCCTACACGGTCTGGCTCTCATCTACCTTTCTAAACATTTGTCATAGTCCTCTGGTGTGTTGGTCTCTGGTCTTTGATATATTACATCTCATCTCTCACCTCCAGGCCACTGTACAGACTGTGCCCCTCAACCTGGAATGTACTCCCACCTCTATCTACCTCTCAGAATGCCTGGCTTCTTTCAAAGCTTAAGTAAGGTGTCTCCTCCTACTTCAAGTTTTTTCCTTTGTCTTTCCAGTTCCTAAGTCCATCTCTTCCTCAAATTAGGTGGCATTTTTTGGTTTTATTTTTCCCTCAATAGAACATAGTTTCTTTGATATGTGACTTTTTGTGTCTTTGTGTCCTCATCACCTAATTCAGTGGCTTTCACATAGAAAGTACAGGGGCAGCTGGGTGTCGCAATGGTTAGAATACTGGAGGGCCTGGAATCAGGAAGACAGGAGTTCAGATCTGTGGTGTTTCAGGTGGCCTCAGATACTTACTAGCTGTGTGACCATGGGCAAGTCATTAACCTCTGTTTGCCTTAGTTTCCTCCTCTGTAAAATGAGGGTGATAATAATACCCACCTACCAGGATTGTTGTAAGGATCAAATATTTGTAAAGTGCTTAGCACAGTGCCTGGCACATAATGGACACTATATAAATGTTTATTCCCTTCCCTTCCTTTAGCCCCACCTAAAACATGTTTGTTGAAGTAAATTGAAAAAAAAAAGTATTCACTATTCATTAGATGGGGGTATATTAATTTGTTGATTTCTTTTAATATATTAACCATGAAATATTATTTATTTTCACGTGTGTAAATGAAATTTAATCTCTAAAAATCTCTGACTTAACAGACTTTGCAAAGCTAAACCATATAGGCAAAGTATTTAGAGTTGGAAGGGACCTGAAAGATCTAGTGTAATCCCCTAATTTTTCAGGTGAAGAAACTGAGGCCCAGAGAATTTAATTGTCTAGACCAGGGGTGGGGAATTTGTGGCCTCGAGGCCACATGTGGCCTTCTAGGTCCTCAAGTGTAACCCTTTGACTGAATGCAAACTTCACAGAACCAATCCCTTTAATAAAAGGATTTGTCCTGTAAAACTTGGACTCAGTCAAAAGGCCACACCCAAGGTCCTTGAAGGTCACATGTGTCCTGGAGACCTCAGGTTCCCCACCCTGGTCTAGACCAAGGTCACACAGTTAGTAGCAGAAGAGTTAACATAATATGATCTTCAAAAGAAACCATTTAAATAAATACATGATATGATATCTATAAATTAACATTTAACAACTGTATAGGATGTAAATATAAAATAAACGTAGACTTACTTTCTCCCCCAAATCCAAATTTCCCCAAATGGAAAACAACATTCAGCATTTTAGCTTACCTGTTATCTTGCAGCCATAAACCTCAAATCTCATCGATATACCAGTTTCCCAAGTTACTGGCTTGATTCGGACAAAACGTGTTATAAAGGGCTTGGGGAAAACCCCATACACAACATCTGTGGGGTTGGTGTTCCCCTGGAAGATCTATGTCAAGAAAGAGAAGGATTCTTTAAGCCCATTATATCTTTAAAGAAAAAGAAGATTTTTCAGAAAATCATTTACAATACCAGCATTTTTTCAGTAAAGAATGAGGCAGCTTCAATAACTTGCCATGTCTTGTCCACAAACCTCAGAAATAACCCATGTCTAACATGGTATATTATGCTAATCATCTATTTGCCTTTCTATGGGTCTGGAGGAAGCCAAGGCTAGAGAAAGACAAGCATTGTTGCAAAAATAACTTTTGGTAAAGGATGTATAACATTATTTATAAATGGTGAAACTATTTACCATAAGTGCCTGCAGAATGCTATAGGAATTCTCCATGGGAATTCATACTATTTTATTTTCCCAGAGATACAAAGAAGAGAAGCTTCCCATCTGTCTGTTAGTCATAGGTAAAGGCATCATGCTGTTTAGAATTTAATGGCGCTGCTAGCCTCATTTATTGTGCCAAGACAAACTGGCATCATAATGCATTGAACAGAGTGATAAATGTGGAGTCATAGGACCAACATCTCATACCATATATTACATGAAGCTCCAAATGGATATACAACCTACATATTAAAGGTCCAATCACAAAACAATTAGGAGAGAATGGAAAGAGGTATCTTGAACAGCGATGGCTAGGTGGAAAATTCTTAACTAAATAATAAATTCTTAACTGAGCAGGAAGATAGAATAGACAAATTTGCTTACAGAAAATTGAAAAGCTTTTGAATAAACAAAATCAGTACAACCGGAATGAGAAGAAAAGAAGCTAATCAGGAGAATCTTCATAGAAAATATCTCTGATAAAGCTCTGATTTTTAAGATAAATAGGGAATTGATACCGTTGTATAAGAACAAAAATCATTCCCAGTAGGTCAGCGGTTCAAAGAATACAAACAAGCAGTTTCCAAAAGAAGAAATTCTGGCTATCAGTAAATATATGAAAAAAAAATTTTCTGAATCACTGATAATAAGAGAAAGGCAAATTAAAGCAACTCTGAATTTTCATCTCACCTCCATAGATTGAAAAAGGTGAACATATTGAAAAAATATTGGAAGGGTAGTGGGAATGCAGGTATTCTAATGTACAGTTGTTGGAGCTGTGTACTAGTTCAATTATTCTGGAAAGCAGTCATATTTTTTAAAAAATCATTACACTGTACATATCCTTTGACTCAGGGGTACAAAAGTATTTATAGCAGCATTTTTTGAAATAGCAAAGAACTAGAAGGAAAATGGGTGCCCCAAAATTGGGGAATGACAGAAGAAATTATGACATAGGAATGTAATATGATATTATCATGTCTACTGTGTGCCTAGCCCTATGCCTCAATTCCCCCTGTTGTTTGTGCAGCTATAGCTGTGTCCCTGAGTAGTGGCACCATCACTCAGTGTAGGGATAGGGACCCCATCCCTCAGCCTTCTCCATACAGTGCAGGTAGACTGTGGTTTCCCAAGACCTTTCTCTTCCCTCCTAGGTCCAAGGGCATCAGGCTTGTGTTTTCATCAGGCTCATTTCCCTCCCTAGTCTCTTGGTTTTAGGGACTGGTGCATTAATTGAAGATAGTCAAAACTCGAAGAAGTATGTTATCCAGATCCTTCTCAGGAGACAATTTAATATAAAAATTTATTACAGCCCATGAGAGCTTTTCAGGTTCTGTCCTGCTTCTTAGACATCACTGAGAAGTTATCTATGAAAGAGCCTTTTTGTGTGACAAGGAGTTATGGATTGTCACAGCTTAAAAGATCTAAAAGGAGCATTAGTCATAATCTCTACATGTACAAGGGCAAACTATTTGCTCCAAGGAATCATAGCAGCATGAACTTAGGGCTGGAATGGATCCTAGAGGTTATCTAATCCAACCTTTTCATTTTAGAGATAAGGAAACAGAACCCCAGAGTGGCTAAGTCACTTGTTCTAAGTCACAAAGGTCAGAGGTGGCTGAGTCAGCATTTGAACCCAGGTATTCTGACTCCAAATCCAGTTCTCTTTCCATTGTATCAGAAACAAATCAGTCTATGAGAGGGTTGATGATAAGGGTCAGTCTGCACCTTCAATTAGTTTCAGGAAAATTTGGGCTCTTTAAAAAGGAACGGCCAAAACTTGGTTACGGCAATGGACCATACCCAACTCTACCTGAGGCTAATGGAGGAAGAGGAGGGCAGACAAGAGAGGGATTTTACCAGAGGTGTTGAAAAGGACAAAGGTAATGAAGAGGGATGTATGGAATAAGTACAGACTTGTTGTGTCTCAGCAACCTGCTTCATTAGAATCGCTATTCTGCTATCTCTGAAATCCTTTAGTTGGGCAACTCCACTAAAATGAACCTAGTACCATGAGAGCACCAATTCAAATATACCCAGTAAGCCAACTCTGTTTTATTTTGGAGTAGGAAGACACTCATTGAGGAACGGGAAGGAAGGAAATGAGAATTTTTAAAGCACTTACTATGTGCCAGGCACCGTACTAAGCTCTGGAATTACAAATACCAGTTAAAAGAAAGATAATTTAAAAAAATTGTCTTCAGACAAATGGCATAAAGTTTATGGAGAGAATTGTGTTTTAAAGACAAACCTGAGCTCAGTTACTCAGGCATGGTTCTCCTCACCCTCTATGGTTTTTGTCTTTTCGTTGTGTATCTTCTTCGTTAGCTACATCGTTTTTGTTTTGTGTTGCAATTTATAAAAAGGACTTTCTAAAGCGAGAATATTCCATTAAATCAGGAGATTCTGAACTGTTTTCTTCCTTTGCAGACCAAGTTAATTCCTTATACATTCATGGTGCCTGGAGAGAAATTGTTTCTTTCCTGTCTTCCTCATTTCCTCATAGGAAATTCTGTGTATTCCCTTGGTGTGAAAAGATGCATGCCCGACAAGGACAGTGGTTGTATAAGAGCTATATACAGTCCTGCTGCTAGCATACCACCCCTCCAAGAACAATTTTGCTAATGATACTTCAGAAGGGGCATTAAAAAAAAAAAAAGCTTTTCTCCTGCCACACATTGAGAAACCTTCTCTTCTCTGCCCTTCCAGATGTGAAAATTGCTCAGTCTGTTGGAGTTTGAAAGAGAAACAGAGTCAAGGTAGCTATTTTGGACAGCTAGATGGAGTAGTAGATAAAGAGTGCTAGATTTGGAATCAGGAAGACCTGAGTTCAAATCCTTCCCTAGACAATAACTATACAATTCTAGGCAAATCACTTAATTTCTCTGAGCCTCAGTTTCCTCATTTGTAATAGAGGTATAGTAATAGCTTTTATAGCACATAATTGTTCTGATGATCAGATGAGAGAACAAGTGCTTAGTAAATCTTAAAACATTATATAAATTCTAGCTATTATTATTATGACTATTTATTATTATTATGCCCACTCCTTACATATTCATGATTTCACAATACCTAGATTTGAGTTTCTCTATTTCTCTTCTCCTGGTGATTTATTCTGCCCCCAAGGACAAGCTCTTAATTCTTGGCAATCGATAAGTATGAGTTCCCAGAAATCTTTGGATTAGTAAATCAAGGCAAGCATAATTTCAAGTAAGCTGTTTACCCCAGAACATTTCCCAAGTCCAAATGAATTAGTGCAGAGAGCCCAAGAGACCTAGTGAGATCCTGCCTCCATCGTTGGGAGCACTAAAGGGACAGCATGTAAATTCTACACGGACCGAATGAATGACCCTCATTTCTCTTAGTTCTCATGAGAAGCAGTTAAAAACTATAAATTGGCTTGCAAGATGCACTGGCTAGATAAAAAGTTTTCTTAAAAGTTATTTAGTTATAGAGGATGGAGGGAGAAATCATAAAAAGGAATGAAGGAAAATGGGAAATAATATACTTCTCAAGGTTCCAAGAAAACATTATTTATCTCATATACAATCCATGCTTCGGTGGGATATTTAAAGTGACTCAAGTGTGATACTTAATCTAGTTAGTATTGACTTTTCTTGGAAGACTGAATAATTTCCATTTTGTTTCTGAAACTAGGAAAGTGAGGCATTTTGGTTTAGCTTAAGTTTCTAACTGTACTTTTCATTTGAAATCAATTAAAAGAATAAAACCAGGTCTAAGAAAAAAAGAAACGAGATGCAAATTAACCACTCAATTAAAACAAAACAAAATAAAATAAAAACCAAATCAGTTAAAGGGATGGAAGCCAAGCTTACAGTTGGTTTGTTCCCTTCTTTTATAGTGATCCAGTCTTCACCATTGGAACTAATATCCACTCGGTAAGTCTTGACATAGTACTCTTTCTTGGTTTCTTTTGATATGGCTCCCTGTGTCCCGATGGCAGAGACGAAGCGGAGAAGACCCAGGTCAACCTGTGGCAGAAAGAAAGCATAGGCTATTTCAGGATATTATGGTCAATACATAGTGATTCATAAGAAGATGAACTGAAATGAACCATATTCTCTGAGGCAGAGGTTTAGTCATATATAATGTGGGCTTATAGATCTACTAGACTGTAAGCTCCATGGGGGCAGAGTGAGCTAGCTAAACTCCTAAACACCTTAAACATTCCTTTGCATTCATAAGATCATAGGTTTCAAGCTGGAAGAGAGATAATCATTGTAAAGTACTTAGCACAGTGCCTGGCGTATACTAAGAATATATTTATTATTATTATTATTATTACTATTGTTACTATTATTATTTTTAGCCCAACTAGCCCAATCCCCTCATTTTACAGATGAGGCACAGAGATATTAAGAAAAGTAACAAGTCACACAGCTTAGTGACAATCAGAATACACTCATTAAATGGTTTAAAAAATTTTTCAATCATTCAAACCATAAGCATTTATTAAGCACCTACTGTGTGCTAGGTTCTGTACTAGACACTGAAAATACAACGGAAAAGTAAAGCAGTCCCTGCCATACAGAAGCTTATGTTCTGGGAGACAACATGTATAAATGTAAATACAAAATGGATCCAAGTTGTTGGACGGTGGGGCACAAGGGGCTACTTGTTATAGGGGGAATTTGTCCTATCTAAAATTACACCTCCCCCAAGAAGTCTATCCTGCTCCCCCTTAAGTCTAGGATCTTCCCTCTGTTGATTATTTCCATTTTATCCTGTTTATATCTTGTTTGTACACAGCTGTTTGCATGTGGACTCTCCCATTAGACTGTAAGCTCCATGAGACCAAGGACTATCTTTTGCCTTTCTTTGTATCTCCATCACTTAGCACAATGCCTGGCACACAGTAGGTGCTTAATACATTTTTACCCACTGACTGAGAAGGACAATCCCTGCCCCACTGGAGCAGTAAGAGATCTCCAAATTCTTCCTGGGGCATAGTCACAATTTTTGAAAAATCTTTCCTATTGGGGGGCGGAGCCAAGATGGCAGAAAAAGGCAGGGACTTGCCTCAGCTTTCCCAAATTTCCCCTCCAAACAACTTTAAATAAGATCTCAAAACAAATTCTCTAGTGGCAGAACCCACCTGAAACAAATTTCCAGGTCAAGACAACTTAGAAGGTTGGCAGAAAAGGTCCCTTGTACCCAGGTTAGAGTGGAGCACAGGCCAGCATAGGCCACCCCAGCACAGACCCTGCCCCAGCAAACTAGCAGCAGGCCTTGTGGGTGACTAAATTAGCTGCGGCAGGGTAGCAGTGGCAGTTTCTGGAGTTCTCAGGCCACAGATGGTCAGGGGATCTGACAGCTGGTCAGAAGGAGATTGTAGGGATCCATTTGCTGGCACTCAGGGCAGGACTCCGGGTTGCCACCCTGGGTCACAGTCCCAGGGTAAGGAGGTGCGCTAGCATGCCAGGGCTTGTGGTCCTAGGGGAGCAGGGGCCCTGGTCACAGTTGGAGGGCAGAAAAAGAGTGCTGGTGGTTGATCATAGACCAGAGAACAGAACAGTAGTAAACACACCTCTGCCTAGATCATAACACTTTGAAAAACAAAAAACTTACAGGTCCCCAGAATTATCTCTTAAAACTTTTCCTCTTTTTACATTTCTGTGTCTCAAAGAGACAGCAGCTGGGCAGAGGTAGGTGATAATGGCCACAGACGAGGGGAAGAGAAGCCTCTGGTCAATTCTACAAACAGGAACACTTCATTCTTGGTGCATAGGGGAGAATGGAGCTGAATGCCTTATAAATATATTATGAATGTCTTACAAATAGAATTATATTTTCTGACCATCTCAAAGTACATTTCAGACATCACTTTATTATAATTCATTTTACAAATGAGAAAACTAAAAGACAATGGTTCAGCTCCTGCCCTAGGTCATACATTGGACATTGGTTTGGCTGGAATGGAACAGAGGCTTTATCTAACCCAATTTCATTCTCAATCACTAGGCAGCATTTTGCTTTTTTCAAAAATGAGGTACCAGATAAAGCAATAGCAAGGCTTTGGAAGGGGTGATGAAGTAGGGGTGTGGATTTGTGCTTGGGCATGAGGCTGGGGATAAAGAGAAAGCAAAGCTTAGTTTCTTTCCATTTCCTCCATCTTTCTCCCTTCCATCTTACATAAGCCATCAACTGTGGTACCAGATTGCAAGAACTGCCTAGCTGGTGAGTTTCAGACAAAGAAGCTTCTCTTAGTAAGTGGTCTTGTCTTCCTGCCATTGACACATCTCACACTGGAGTTCTGGATCAGTCCTAAGACCTCCGTGGATTACACTTAGTGATCCATTAACTGAATGCGTAGCAGTTGTAACCAAGTGGTGACTTCACTCCAAGGGTCTGATCATTAGTAGTTAATAGTCAACATTTATGTTGGGCTTCAAGGCTTGCAAAGCACTGTACATACATTATCTCTTTTGATCCTTGCAGCCATGCTCTAGGCAGGCCATAGAGTTGGTATTATTCTCATTCCACAGAAGGGCAAACTCAAGATCCCAGAAATCCAAAGACTTGCCCACAGTCACACAGCTAATTAAGTATCAGATGAAATTAAGTTAAATTAAAACCTGAATCTCCCCTGACTCTAAACTCACTTCTCTTTCCACTACTTTGTGCTTCTATTTTTTTTTTTTTACTATTTCATGTGGAAGCTTGATGTGTTCCTCTGTCTTTGTTGTACTGTGAAAAGGACATTAGACAGAGTCGTAGAAACAGCTTTGCCACTAAGTGGTTATATGACTTTGGATGAGTCATTTACAGTTACTGAGTGCCTCCTCACTTGTAAATGAGTAAAGTGGGTTATTTCTAAGGTGCCTTTCAATTCTGATAATCAACTAGTATTGCAGTTAAATATCATCACAGATTTTGATTTAAAAATTCTGTTTCTAGTCTTAAGAAATAGGAATATTTGTAGCTATCACTTATGAGCATTTTAAGATTCACAAAAGTGTTTTACAAATTTTATCTCTAGGAGGTAGGTGCTATTATTATTCCCATTTTATAGTTGAGGAAACTGAGGCAGAGATAAGTTAAGAGATTTGTCCAAAGTCAGGAAGCTAGTCAGTGGCTGAGTCAGAATTCGAACTGAGGTCTTCATGACTCCAGGTCTAGTGCTCTATCCATTGTTCCCCTTGCTTGTCTTAATCTTAGACCAAATCAGTCAGTGGGCTGCTACAAATAAGGGAGAAGTTCAGATTTTTTTTTTTAAAGTAATAAATCTGCTTTTTTATTTTAAATGCTTTCCATTTATTTCTACACTCAATCGTTTGCAGAAACTTTAAAGAAATGAAATCCAGATTTCTGGTAAATATTTTTAAAGGGCACAAAACCTTAATTAAATATCAAAACCAGTTACGATTTATGGAACATTACAACAATACACTTACCATTGAGGAAAAACGAGAATGCCATTTTCCTTAGAAAAGCACTTCCTTCTGAATCTTGATCTCTAGCCATGATAGCATAACATCCCACTTCACAGAGCTTCAGTTAACCCCATCCAGTTCCTATTGGCCAGGAGACCTTAACTTGGGGCCTATGAATTTGTTAGTAAAAATATTTTGATAACTATGTTCCACATAATTGGTTTCCTTTTCAATCTTATCTATTTTGTGCACTTAAAAATATTATATTAAAATAATGCCTCAGGGGCAGAAATCACTGAATGAACAAACAAGTCCAGAGGACATCTGTGTTGAGGTCATAGCCTCAGCTTCAGGAACTTACACCCCATGAACAGTGTGGGGGTCAGAGGGCTGATCAGAGAAAAATTTCAGAGCCTCTGCTGGTGTTTGAATCTAGGCATAGATGTGCTGACTAGATACCATATCAGGCTGAGGCTGTGGGCAAGGAGGAGTGAGCTCATGGATGAGTGCAGTGGCTGGGCCCTGCGGCTGTGGTCACTCACAGGAGGGCAGAATCCCTGGTCTTGGTTCCAGGGCAAAGGGGTGAGTTGAAGCTTGCAGCCACAGGAGGGACTTAAGGGAGTAAGAGCTTTTGTGGTGTCAAAATTACAGACATGGCTTAGGGGCGGAAAGGAGTATCTGAGGTCAGGTCCCCAGACAGAGCTCAGAAAACAACAGCTTAAAAAACCTGAAGCCTGAGATATTATCCCCCACACCTCAAGACTAGAGCCTGACTCCTAGCACAAACTTAACAGCCAAGAAATAAGCTGCTAAAACAAACAAACAAACAAAAAACAGTAAGCGAAAGAGAAAGAACCAGACTATAGAAAGCTACTGTGGTGATTAGGAAATAAGAGGGCAAGGGGATAAAATAAGGGAGGTACTCTTAGAAGAGTGGGTAAATCAGGTAATAGGAGGGTAAGGGGAGAGGATAAAGGAGGGACTCTTCCAAGCGGTATGGATTAGGGAGGCAGTGGTTAGAAGTAAATTGGCCATCTGAGAAGGGATAGGGTAAAAAAAGAGGGAGAGAAGGATCAATAGTAAGAAAAAATAGGATGGAGAGGAATGTACAACTAGTAATTATAACTTTGAATGTGGATGGAATGAACTCATCCAAAAAATGGAAATGGATAGCAGAATGGATTAAAAATCAGAATCTGACAATATATTATTTACAAGAAATACATTTAAAAATGATACACATAGAATAAAAATAAAGGGCTAGAGCAGAATTTATTATGTTTAAGTTGATGTAAAAAAAACACAGTGGTAGCAATCATGATCTCAAACAAAGTTAAAGCTAAAATAGATGTAATTAAAAGAGATAAACAGGGAAACTACCTACATTATGATAAAAGGCACCATAGATAATGAAGTAATATCAATACTAAACCTATATGCACCAAATGCTATAGCATCCAAAATCATAAAGGAAAAGCTAAATGAATTACAAGTGGAAATAGGTAGCAAAATTAATATAATGGGGGACTTCAACCTTCCCCTCTCAGAACTAGATAAATTAAAAAAAATATTCTGAGAAGGGCTCCATAGACTTCACC